AGGACAAAGCAAATCGGTAGTGATTTGCTCGGCCTATCTGCCCCAACACGAAAGTTCTCCGATTTGGTGGAGTGCTGCGCTTCACTGACCTACCGCTGATTTTCTGATTCGATGTTAATGCACACAAGGTGTAGGGTAGCACCGACACGAACCTAGAAAGCTCAGGACTCGGCTCAGGAGTACCTACTCACTACGGATCAGCAAATGCTGAACCTTGGCAGCGCATCGACATTTGTCAATTCACATAGACAATAGGTGATAGAATTGATATTGGGTTCACTCTCCGTGGCCCTAATGAGGTGGAAACATGACGAACCGTCCCTATCGGAGGGATGAGGCATTGAAAACAATGACAATGCATCCAATTCAACACGCCTACGTGACCATCATTTCGACTGAGATGGTTCCTCACAGCCTTGTGACAAGACTGAATCGAGGACTCATGAGAAGATTTCTCAATATGCTCGAAAGGTGATGCAATAATCAAATGCTCTCGGTAAATCCGGACAAGACCAAAGTTGTACCATTCACCAATAGCCTAAACGTTGGCCTGGACCGGCTCACGCTCTTTGGATCAAAACTTATCCCATCCGAATCTGTCAAATATCTAGGAGTCATCATTGACTCGAGGTACACCTGCAAATATCACGTCGACAGAGTAGTCCAGAAAGTCACGCCAGCCTATGGTCCTACTGAAGGTCCACTGGACGCACCTTGGGCTTAGTCCCCATGATTCACACATAGTGATAGGGCCACTTAGTCGTTCGACCAGACTTAAGGTTTCTTAATTTCCACAATTTAAATTATTTGTGAAGCCATTTCTGTTCGAACACACGGTGCCCTTTTCGAACGCAAATCCACCCACAGAACAAACCTGGAAAAGCTCGAACGACTTGCCTGTATGGCAACAATTCGAGCTTCTTGAACCATCCCAATGCTGACATTACTGGGACTAACACCTCTACATCCTTTTGTTGAGGCACAGGCTCGAGAGGCTATAGGCACAGTCACGATTGCGGATAATGGGTTCGCAGGGGGAACTTAGGCATGCGAGGGCCTGGACTGATACTTTCAAACAGGTCCCCCATTTCACTACAAAGGATGCAATGCCAAAGACGTCAGCCCCTCTTAGAAAATATGAGACCGGTATTCCTGCCAGTAACAAGTGGCTAGAGCCTGAACCAGTCTTCCTCAGACCGAAGGGGCTCATCTGGCACACAGACGGGTCCTAAACAGGTCTTGCACTGCGTCGATACTCAACGCCAGACTGAGATCTACGCTATATTGGTGTGTGCTCAGGAAAACCTCCAGAGAGAGCTTCTTTAATGCACCGTCATGCAGCACTTTAGATCTTTCTTCATAATTTCGATTAATACTTTTAAAGCTTAAATTGGAAGGTAGAATCTAGGTGATGAGTATAATAATAAATTTCTTGTCAACATTTAGCATTTTCATCAAACTATAATATATTACGAAAACCTTTTTGTCACTCCCAATTTCATTTTGGGTATCCAGCGAACAGTTTTTTTCACCATGATCCCATTGTCAGATTGAAATCAATCGAAGGCTTTTTCAGTTTTTCGTCTATTTCGTTGGTGTTTTTCTTTCCTATTATTTATTAACTTTCAGGGAGTATCGGAAAGCTGAATTATATGGTTGCGCGATTATTTGAAACTGCTGAACCTGAATAAAACAAACGTTCATGAAAATTATATTAGCAGAGAAAATGTTAGTATTGCGATTTATAGAAACAGTAAAAAGGTACTAAATTCAATCACTGGACACAGAGAATTCGGAAATATTATAGCTTTTTACTTTTAATAATTGAATTCTCTCTCTAATTTATTACATATTGTATGCCAAAAGCTATGCTCGAACAACTAAATATACAAATCAAAAGACTCAATAGGATGAAAATCAATTAGAATTACTATAAAAACTGTTATTTCCCGAACCTTAAAGCTTATTAGTCGAATATAATTTTATTCCAGACTGCGGTTATTAAAAAATGATTCTTTTTCCATTTGTCGAAATTGAAATCAGTCAGCTGAAAATGTCCAAATTCCTATTTGCATGAAAAATCAACGAAAATAATGGCTAATCATCCTATAATACCAATTTGAAGTTGAATATAATAATCAATTGAATATTCATTACTGCATAAAATATTTCAGGATCAATAGTTCCTTGTAATCAAATTATTTTGATTTTAAATTTCGCATTACACAATAATTATTTCCCGTTTGAAATTATTGCTGTAGTTTGTGTTTCTTTCCTAGTATTTTTTGATAAAACTGAATCATTATTTCTTAATTTCTCTTCGTCTTAGATTTCTTCGCAACTATAAATATTTGCATCTGCAGATTATATTTAGGTGAAATGCTTCACGGCATTGGCATACAACAAATGGTCAACATTTACGCCTCCGTAAAAACCATTGATAAATAATTTTTTTAAAAAAGACGAATATTGTGGCACTGTGCAAACTAAATTACCTACGTGTTCTGCAAATTGAGCAAGTTCCTCTTGCAGTGCCAGAGATATTTCGGGAATTGATAACTTGCAGTTCTTTCTTCCGCCAACTGTGGGTTCTAGAAATGTTCAGACAAGCATATTCAAATGGTTGTAACTAGAGCAGATTTACCGTGTATATCAAGTTTCATTGTTAAACTGAACTGTCACAATTTGACTCAAAGCCTATACGTATTAATACAGTGTGTCCAAGATAAGGATGGGATAGCATTAGGATCTGGAGAACGGTTGGAGTTACAATGTTGGTTAGATTAGGAATTTAACGCTCAATAATATGGTACTCTGACATTTGAAAAATTCCGAACATTTTCCCCGGAAAAACCCGAAACTTTGCAATTTCGATTTTATTTTTTCCTGAGCATATTTGAGGAGAAATTCCAAAATAAATGTTACTTCATCGTTACCACTTTTTTCCACTCTACAAGATGACATTATCAATTTTAAAATTTGACTTTTCGTCTTTGGGTTACGATCATCAACTTCATTTTTTTAAATACGGTACCTTATTTTTTATTTTAGATTTTATAAGCTTTTGACATCCCAAAACCAATGACGTATAGCACTTGTTCGAAAAATTTATATTATTGGCACTTTCCATAAGAGCTTAATGTTTTAGAGAAAGAAAGAGAATGGAATTTTGGTAGGCAATCACTAAAAAGTAAATAATTTTTTTTTTTCGAATAAATGCGATACGTCATAGATTTTGGGACATCAGAAGCTCTTAAAATCTGAAATAAAATATCAAGGGTCGTATTTAAAAAAAATGAAGTTGATGATGGTGGCCCAAAGACAAAACGTCAGATTTTAAATTTGAAAATGTCATCTTGTAAAGTAGAAAAAGTTTTTACGATGAAGTGACATTTATTTTGAAATATCTCCTCAAATAAGCTCAGGGAAAAATGAAATCGATTTTTCAAAATTTCGGTTTTTTCCGGATATCTCCGAAAGTGTTCGGAATTTGTCGAATGTTAAAATATCATTTTATTGAGCGTTAAATTGCTCAACTTTTTCCTTATCTAACCAACATTGTACTCCAACCGTTTTCCAGATCCTAATGCTATCCCATATCTTGGACAAATACTGTATATTCAGAAAAACGTCTTTATATTTGATTGTATAAAAGTCATTGGACAAAAAAAAAAGATAGGGATTTGAATAATATGATTGCGGCTAAAAAAGTCTTCCAATGTAACTTTATCGGAAAATGTAAATGAAAGGATTAATTTGAAATAAACTCGATTGCGGCTAAAAAATTGTTCCAATGTAACTTTATCAAGAAATGTAAATGAGAGGATTAATTTGAAATTAACCCAAACTAACCCTTACAATTTTTCAGGAGGAAACTGCATAATATTTTACCCCTTCCGAAGCACTGACCATATCAAGAGTTTTTTAAAACTGAAAAAAAAAACTCATCACCATTTAACTGCTCACACTGGCTTCATCACGAGTTTAGATGTATCACGTGATGGTCAACTGTCGGTGACTGGAGCAACGGATCACCTGATAAACGTTTGGCAACTTAACAATCAAGAACTAGTGCTAACACTGAATGGACATTCGGGTCCAGTGACATCGGTTAGCTTTGCTCCGAGCGGATTGTTTGTGGCGTCTGGATCTGAAGATAAAAGCGTTAAAGTTTGGGGATTGACACTTGGCACACTTGTGTTGACATTTTCTGTAAGTACCTAGTCTATTGCAGAGCTGCTCGCAAGGTTCTAAGCTTACGGAAGGATTTTTTTTAAAACCACTGACGTGACAATGACATTTAGCGACTAAAAATTTACTACCTACATTAATACGTAGCTCTTTTAACCTAATTTGTAAACTGGTGAGGTGAGTATCGCTATTTGGACAATTTGTCCCAACACAAACCCATTCACCTGATGAAGTACATTTGTCTTGGTTCTTGGTGATATAATTACTATATATTTTACGGCAAATATTCAGTCATAAAATATATGAAATGAAGAAAAAAAAAAACACTGTTTACCTACCTAAAAACTTGGAACACCACAAATTTACGCTCGCAGTATAATCTAAGCGGCACAAAATAAATGAGTTAGTTAGTGCTTAATAAGATACCTATTTATTTCATTCATGCGATCTTTTCAAAAAACGTCAAGTCTTTCTTAGTATAATAGACGCAAAACACAATGACAATATTGTTCCTTATTCCAATGTAATCTTAGTGAGATTTCAGTAAGCTAGGCTTACTTCATTTGAAATTCAGATATACCGCTGCCTAACATATATATTTTTTTCTCTTGAAATAAATAGTGCTAATTTTTTTGAGCACCAGCCATTAATTATTACAATGAGAGATAGGGTAATCTTTTGAACATTATTGCTTTATTGGAGTAAAGATAACTACCGCCTTTTTGGAAGACGCATGTCATTTCAATCTATCGGTTCTAATTTTGTTTTAAAATTAGCATCCTATTAAATAAAGAATAAATATTTTTTAGCGTCACTCAGCTTCAATAACAGCAGTATTTGTACTAATGGATTCGAGCAGAATAATATCCAGTGACATAAATGATACAATATACATCTGGCACGCGGATAACGGCACAGTTTTGCAATCCTATTCTGGACCGAGCGAAAGTGTCAAGACCACCACCAATATGAAGTATGCTGTAGCAACTAATGGCGACACTACCCTAAAAATATGGTCATTGGTAAAGGACGACGAAAGATATGCGATATCACATTCTGAAGAAATAACTTGTTTTGTGTTGACAACTGATTCCCAACATATCATAACTGGTTCCAAAGACATGTCTTTGAAAGTTTGGCAAGTCGCAGGAGGAAAGTTATCTCAGGTAAGTGTTTGTTGTATGAATTCACACATAGGTTTATAGAATAAAATACCTAATGCCTACCGAACGACGCAGAATGTTTATCTACGAGGTGTTCTGCGTATACAAGGTGATAAATTTATTTGGCTTCACATACTTATTTCACTTGCGTAGTATTTACTGTTATCTATAAATGACCCCACTCAAAAACTGGTCTTATTCTGCCTCTTTGTAAGTGATTGAGTTTAACATCCATAGGCTTGTTGTTCCTCTTCCCATTTTTGGACATGGCTTCTCCTATGGCTTTTTGTTAAACCCAAAAAGGCTCCGGACCAGGAAATGATGATTCAGCACCTTTCCGTTCCAGGCAGTCTGCCATTTAATTTCTTTCAATGTCTTATTCATCCCAGTACGGATGATGGAATTACTCTATTACGGGTGTTTTTAGTACTTGCTAACAGACCCATCCATACACTCAAACACAAAGGTAGGTACTGAGATTTTTCAGTGTTGCCTGACTGTTGGAATTGATATAGGGATTTTATTCCTTGTAAGTTTTTCTCTAAACACTTTCGTGTACGAAGGTCTATTGTGTGTATCTCCGCTTGGAATATAGTAAGGCTTTTTTCTTACAACTTTGTGGCCTCCAATGATATTTGGAGTATATAGTATATATATTTAGTTGCTCAAACTCATATCACGTCGACCGGTTTTGTTGTTTTCATTACATTGAATTGCCTATGATATATTATTTTGTGAAGATGCTTTTATACAGAGTCAAAGAAAAATCTGGAAACGCCTATTCTCGAAAACGGTTTTCAGAAATGTAAATTCAGGATGTAGGAGCTTATGGACATGCTGCAGTATGTTTGTTGTTCTTCTGCTGCTGCCAGTTTGACAGTTTTTTTCATAATATTGTTCAATCAGGCTATTTCAATGCATCACCCTATATTTTGTTTAATTTTCTGAACATACGGAAAAATCTGAATACATTTCATGCATGATGCCTTATACCCATCTTAAGCTGTCGATATATTGCCAAATGTTATTTCATATTATAGAAATTTTGACAGGCTGTAGTGTAAGCCGTTTTGATTTATGTATTTGTTATCAATTTTCGGTTTTTCCGAAAATAACAAATCGGTTTCCTTTCGCGAATTTTTTTATTCATACCAGTGAGCTCGGAATTGATAATAATTACAATCAATAATAGTCTAAATTTAATAAAACAGGAATGTGCAAAAGATTTTGCTCCTAATCAAAACTCTATAGATATGTCCCCAAACCTCCAAAAATTTTGTACATTTATAATTGTGGAAATGCGGAGTGATTTTTACTTCCACTTTTCAATTTATCATTTTATTCAATATTTCCCTTCTATTCACATCTATATACAGTGTCATTACTTAAGTGTGCAACATATGGGATTTTTTTTTAGTAATAGCACAATCAAAATACAAACAAGGCCAAAAGTTGGTGCATGTCTGATAATCATATAAGGTGCACTTAGAATGGTTGCAAGTCGAACAGCATACAGGGTGGCTCAAAAAATATCAAAATTCTACTAATATTTACTTAAATAAAATAAAACTTTTGCACTTTAAGGAGAGTTTTTTCAATATGGCTATTATTATTAGTAATGTTTTAACTTGTTAAAAAAAAAATTGCGACATGTTAAAGTTGTGTTGAATATCATTGCAACAAACATGATTTTTTTTTTGATTCCAGAAAAAATTAAAAATCTAAGTTAATTTTACAAATATGCTTGAATTTGAACAAAGTTATGTAAAATTGATTTGATTTTAATTAATTTTTGAAAGTATTAAGGGCCGACATAAAAAATAAAAAAAATATAGAAATTATAGATTTTTTTAGAATAAAAATAAAAAAAATCTTAGGAAGCTATGTTTTGGTATTTAGGCATAACTTTTAATTCCAAACAACTTTTCTCTATAACATTTTGTTGAATTTTCTAAAATAAGGGTACTTTACAGTACCAGCTTTGATATTGTTTGAGCTACCCTGTATGCTGTTTGACTTGCAACCATTCTAAGTGCACCTAATATGATTATCAGACATGCACCAACTTTTGGCCTTGTTTGTATTTGGGTTGTGCAATTACTAAAAAAAATCCCCATATGTTGCACACTTAAAAAATCACAATGTATATAAAAATTAAAGTTCACGGGGTATCCGGGTATGCGCTCCTACACCACTTATCCGATTACGATGAAACTTTGGTAGATTGTTATGGCCATCCTAAGGAAGGTTTGTGGATAGGTTACGCATCTCGGAAAATGAAATAAATTTTGAATTAATTAATAATTTAATTGTAAACAAACTCATTCAAATTACATAACAACATAACCCAACTTTTTTTTTGACAGTATGAAAGGCTTGCCATTCAACCGACGTAGCTTTATTATTTTTTGAATTCGAGAACGGCTGGACCGATCTTGAATTTAATACCATAAAATTTTAATACCACGTATCTCTATATAAGCTGAATTCGATTGACCCAGATTAGATCGATTTGGGTTCAATTTAAGTGAACTTCTTCTGATCTAGATCATTTTTTTGTTGATGAGAGTGCACTGATCCAGCCTCAATCGAACACAGTGTGGTTGGCAGGGCGAATTCTCATGAGCGTAAGTTGACATTTCTGGCGTAACGAAACTCTGATACACTGGAACGCCTATAAACAACCCGGGGCGCTCTAGAACAGCTCTGGAGTGCTTAAAATGCGTCACTGAACTCACTGCGGCAAGCGACGCTGGTATCGGATAAAAAAAAATAAAAAATTAAATAGAAAATGAACAACAAAATTTGAAAAAAGTGTATTGTTTCAAAATGTATTTTCAAGCTGGCAACGCAGCGGGTCATTAGCTAGCATTAAATATTTAGTTCTTCTTTGATTCCGAAGGTCGTTCTGATACATTGGACATGCGAATCTCTTGTTACAAATTTGAGCTTTTCGGTTTTTGCAGTAGGTATATTGTCACATAAACCGTCTACGAGCATAAAGTAAAGTACGATGCACACTTTAGATGGGATTTTAAAAAATCCACAATTTTAATGAAATTTTGATATGTTGTAGATCTCGATCTACTGATCAAAAGTTCTCATGGGCCCAAGATGATCTTATAACTGGTTTCCGAAATACAGTGGCGGGTATGGGGCTACCCAAAAATCCGACTAAATAGAAATTCTTTCACAAAAAGTAAACTTTAGTACAAAAAGTGATAAAGACTACGTTTATTTCACGTGTTGTATCCGGATACTAAGTGGATTGGATTAGGGTGGAAATATCCATGTTTTCACAAAGACCCTTTTTTCGATGAATCGCAATTATTATCAGTTATAACCGCTCAAACCACCCTCAAAGTAGTTTGCAAGTCAAATGAGGTTCCCTGAACGGTGTATATTGGTACTGCCTAAGACTTCCAGTACCATTTGTGCCCGAGACTAGGGTGGAAATGTCCATATTTTCATGAAAGTCCTTTTTTTCATGGATTGCAATAATTAGTTTCACCCCTTTAACCACCCCAAAAGTAATTTGCAAGTCAAGTGAGGTTCCCTAAACGGTGTATATTGGAACTATCTATAACTTCCAGTACCATTTGTACCCAAGACTAGAGTGGAAATGTCCATATTTTCACAAAAACCCTTTTTTCGATGAATCGCAACTATTATAGTTTACCCCCTGTAATCAACCTCAAAGTTATTTGCGAGTCTTTTTGGGTACCCTAGACGGTGTATCTTGGTACTGCCTATAACGTCCAGTACAATTTCCGCCCGAGACTAGGGTGGAAATAATCATATCATATTTTCATATCATATTATTTTATTATCTTATTCAATATTTTAGTTGGATTTAGGTAAAAAAAAACACTCTTCAGACGATCAATGTATATATTTTGTCGACGTTTCGATCTCTATGAGATCATCCTCAGGACTCTAAAAGTTTTTTTTGAATAATTAACTACCTATAAGAACAATCAGCAACTAAGGAAAATACACATTAAAAACTCAACAATCACTATGTAATTAATACGTTTAAGATCTAAAATGAATCACAAGGTGCATAAAATTACAATTCGCGTTCGCAATTAACCCGGCATTACACGCGCCAAAAAAATTACGTCGTTACACGCGTTCGGTCAAATCGACCGACTGCCAAAAAGTTTATATGAATTATTAGCTTTTTTCGCGGAAACGATCCCAAACGTATCCTGAATGCTAAGGCATGACCTACGCAATTTTACTAATCAATAGAGACATGAAACTTTCAAATATTACCTGCGTAAGTCATGCCTTAGCGTTCAGGATACGTTTTGGGACCGTCTCCGCGAAAAAAGTGTACAAGCACTATAATTCCTAGGATTCATAATTATTACAAATGGAATTATATTATGCAGTACAGTTACCGTATTATCGACAGCCAAAAGTACTCCCAATATCAGAAAATGCCATTTTTGAACACAAATATTTCAGATACTCAGGTTCACGCGCCTAGTCAAAAGCACCAACTATGAAAATAACGAACCCTTTTTCAACCAAAAACCAAAATATTTTTGGGCCAATGGGTAGTGGAAAACCTGCATCAGGCATTCCTGGATGGACAAAACTGTCACCCTTGTACCAGTGGCGTAATTACTGGTTTTATCAATGATCGGTCTTTTTGACCGACACGCGTGTACTCGCGGGTTAAAAGAATTATTGTACATTTGAAAGTTAAACTTGTTCAGTTTTATATACCTGACATAAATATCAATTACATAAATAAAAGAGCAAAAATATCAATTAATTAACTCTAACAAAAATCAAAAGGTATTTAAAAAAAAAAAGAAAAATGACAAAATAAGAAACACACACAAACCAACAGGCAGGTTAAAAATACACTTACAGTAGATCATCCTCGTTAAACTTGAAACCATAATGATATAATGATAATAATCATGGAAATTGGAAAAAAAAATAGGTACTTTTTCTCTCTATATGGGTGATAATAGACCAACAGTCGC